AAACCGAAACATGTAAGGCAGATGTGATAAAGAAGTGACCTACAAATTGTTACACTCAACGGACTTTCTATTTAATTTGTGGCATGTATGAGATCAGGTTGCTGGGAACAGCATCTTCATCTAAGAGGGTTGAAGTGACATGAGGATGGGGCAAACTGCAAAATGAGGAGCTTCATAATTCATACTCTTCATCAGATATTCATCATCATTGGCAAAATAGCACCTTTTGATGCATACCCTTCCTCAGAAGATTATGCCGGATCTTGTTTTCACTTTGGATTTTGCAACAGTAATTTTTTCACAGAAGAAAGTCATCAGCCTTTCATCCAACCCCCAACCTGGAGGAGGAGGTGCCTATATTTATGTCCCCCTGTGACAGGGTGGCCCAGATATGCCCCTAGCTACTAGGTTCCCTTTTTGTCACCTACAACTTGCGGGGCTACAGTGGAGGTATTCTAACCTGCCTCCACATGGGGATCATCAGATATTATGTGGTGAAATCAGGGAGGATGAGATAAGGACATATGGCATGTATGGGGCATGAGAACTGTATAAATACTGTTATCCCTAAAATCAGAAAGGGTAAGGCCATTTGAGAATTACAGTCATAGATGTAAGAGCAGTGTTAAAGTGGATCTTTAAGAAATATAATGTGAGGGAATACTGGATCATTTGGTTCATGAGAGAGGCCAGTTCAGGGCATTTGTGAGCACAGAAATGAACCATGGGGTCCATAAAAGATTTGAAATTTTTTGACTAGCTGAGCCATTATTAGTTTTGTGGGGTTTTATGTAGTTTTGTCATTACTTCAATGACAACCCACTTCTTCAGAACAGTTTGTTGGTCCAGAAAAGGACCGTGGTTGCTGAGATGTTTGATCAGTGAGGTAGCGCGGCGCACGCCGGTAGGGAGAGAGGTTAGTTGCGGTGATTTGACTGGCCACAGTGCGGCCGTTGCTGGAGGTGACTTGATCGCCATGCGGCAGGTGAGTTGAAGTTGCATGGTCACACAGCACAGTCGCAGAGGTGATGAGGCAGTGGCTACACCAGATGCCCGGTGGGTCAGACAGGGACACAACCACCGGCGAGGTGCCCCAGTGCATCGGGTGTGAGAGCCGGAGGGCCGAGGCAGTCGTGCCTGGCGCAGCCTGCTGATGCCTCTGAAGACCGAGCGCTGGCGACGAAGCCTGCTGGCTGGTGTTGCTTGAGAGTGACTTGATCGTAGACTGAAGTCAGACTGATGCTGCCGGTCCACGGCTGCTCCTTTTTATACACTGCTCGGTGGGCGGAGCAAAACTTGAAATTGAGGAGGAAGAATTTGCAGGGCACTGATTGGCTAGCGCGTGTGATGATGTAGTTGTGGGGCTAGCAACAAGCGCAGTATAAATGCGAATGTTTGGAGCAATTTGATTGGTTAGCGCGCGTGATGGTGAAAAGTGATGTGAAGAGTGTGCGTTGCAGAAAATGCGTGATAATGTGGGATGTTCCCACAGATTCTTAAATAGAACTTCACTCCATTTTATGAGGTGGCTAGCTAGCTGCTTAATTTCTTATAACCAAATTTAACCTTGGACATTACTGTTGTGATGTAATTCATGATGTGCACATCATGTTTTTCTGTGACTAAAATATCTTTTCTCATTTAGGCTACCTTTATTCTGAATCTGTGGTATATTATTGTCCTGAGTCCAGAAATTGTTTGACACTTGAAAAATACAGGAGTTTCATTGATAGTCTACCTATAATTGAAGAACCTCAGATATTTGGAATTCATGAGAATGCAGATATTGCTTTTCAGGTGAGTTTTGAAATGTATAGAGCCTTATTTTTACATCCTGTACATGTATCATATGCATGTAGCTTACACATAGAAGTAGATTCACTCAGTTTTTAAAGTAAATTTTATTGTATTAGAACTGTGAACTTCTGATAATATTTGTTGTCTTCAAAGGTTAAGGAGACACAAGCAATGATGATGACTCTATTGGACATTCAGCCAAGAGAATCACCAGGATCCACTGAAAAATCAAGTGATGATATTGTTTATGAGATAACAGAAACAATCTTAGGAAAACTAATTAAAACCATTAATGCAGATGAATGCTTGCCATCACTTCTCCAGGTAACTAAATTGTTGACTTAATGACTACATAACAGTCTTCTAATACCATGTAGCCTGTTGAAACTCAACTAATATTTCACAGGGACATGTCACCATCTTCAGGGTTGAAGAACAAATCAGTCAGAAACCAGCTTGAAGCAGGTAGCAAGCAAAGCTCTGCTTGGTACCAGCTCCAGTATTTTTAATGTTCATTGTGACTCAATAATTTTATATTGTTTCATATTAGTATTATTTGAATATCCTTCCTGAAGAACAATTATTATATGAACTGTGTTCAATTTTTAGCCTGATAGGAATGGTCGATTACCCTCACTGTCAACAGTTTTACTTCAAGAAGTGAATCGATATAACACACTACTCATCAAGGTCCGTGCATCCTTGGATAACTTACAGAAGGCCATCAAAGGACTTGTGGTTATGTCTGATGCTTTGGAGGAAGTTTTTAAGTCATGTTTGAAGAATCAGGTATTTATAACAAATTTAAAGGTTAGAAGTTGTGATCCTGTATTGTCTTTCAGTTAAACTGTACTCCAATAAATCTGTAGTCATCAAATGTCATACTTGAGTGGTTACTGCTCATGCTATGAATTTGAAAGGTCCCGGGATCAAATCTTGGTCTGGAGATTGACTTTTCTGGGATGTTTCTCATAGTTAGTGGTAGGATAATACCTTAAGTTATGCTCTGACCACTTTCTTCTGCATCCTTAATGTTCCAGTAATCATATTTCTATGCATTTTAGATATCTGAGATATTCAAAGTGTTATTAATTAAATGAAGAATAAACAGATAAAATAAAACCGCAGTTTCCATAGAAATTTCTATAAACATTCATCTTTTATCTGTGTCAGCATTAGTCATGTTGAAAAGTGTTAGTTGTATTTTATTAGCAGATGACATGGTAATAAAACCAATTCCTCATTGTTAATTATGTTGAAGTTAATGTATATAAGTCCCAGTATTCATGAGGTAAAGTAAATTAAAGTGCTTAAATTTCATGTCTGCTTAATGAAGTTATAAGTTTTTATCTTCGACATCCTTCTCTCTAAAACTTCTTGAATGACTTTGAAGGATTGTTAATTTTCTAAAGGTAAAAAGGATATATTTGTGCCTGTGCTTAATTAATTATCCAGTTAAGCACTATGTCATGAAGACATGTGAGAGTGAGGTATAGCTCTACCATTCATGACTTTAGTACAAGGAGATGAGAGGTCAGCCCTATTCGCTATACTCTTGGAGGAAAATCCCCCAGTTCTCACTGGATAGGAGGCTGGGTGGGCCCCAGAGCCAGTCTGGATGCTGTGGGGAAGAGAAAAATCACTTTCCCTTACCACAAATCTAACCTCGGCTGTCCAGCTCACAGCCCATCACTATATTGACTTAGCTATTAAGGAAATTCATTAAATGGGATAGTCTGGTAAAGAAATATTAAAAATTTACATCACGAGGTGACTGATTTGTGAACCGTAGTAATGATGTTTGAGGCAGCATGTTTGTCTGAAACACTGGTAACCACCTAAAAGACTACACAACCCAGAAGACCACAATCTGAATACTAACAGCCATGAGAACCTCAAATATAACAATCTTGGGTGCCTACTACATAAAGAATCTGAACACCCGCAGACATTTTGTTGCAAATGACATCCTCAGATCTGAACAAATTCCCATGCTGTTACAGGTTCCCAAAATGTGGGGAGGAATTGCTTATCCTTCACTGAAAAGTTTAGGGAGTTGGATAAGGGACCTGCAGCTAAGACTTGATTTTATAAAGGTAATGTAAGCATATTTTGTACTGTATGCAGATATGGACATGTACAAGTGAATAAAATGTAGTGTCCACATATGTTTTAAGGTTTATAAACATCCTCCATGACTTGACCATTGTAATTATTCTTTATGAAGAGTACAAGGTATGAAGCTCCTCATTTTGCAGTCTCCTCCAACCTCCTGTCAGTTCATCTCTCTTCGGTCCAAATATTCTCCTCAGCACCCTGTTCTCAAACACCCTCAGTCTATGTTCCTCCCTTAATGTCAGAGACCAAGTTTCACACCCATACAGAATCACAAACCTAAGAGTACAAAGCTAATTAAATGAGTGAGGAACAGAATGGCTATTTAAATTATAAATGAAATATAATATCCCTGTACTTTTAAAGAAATTCATTATCAACTAGTTGCACAGCTGTGCTATGCATATGTAAATAAAGGACAGTCATGAAAATTCTGGAATGTCTGATTTTTTTTATTGCTAGTGGGCTGGGACTAAGTCCCTTGTACTGCGGCCACTTCTGGCCTATTGTACCAGCCCCACATGATAGGTGAAGGTGATTGTGGAGCAATTGACCAGACCCGGGATCGAACCTGGGCTGCCACGGTGGAAAGCCAGTGACTAACCGCTTGAGCTATGGCGCAGCCGAATATCTGATTACTCAATTGCATAAAGATTTCCAAAGTGTTTTACTTAACTATTGATTGTTTGACTTGACATTAATACCATTCTGTTAATTATTTCAGGTTTGGTTAATGGCAGGACCACCACCCTCATATTGGCTGTCTGGTTTCTTCTCTCCTCAAGGCTTTCTTACTGGTGTCCTTCAGACATATGCCCGTAAACACAGTCATCCTGTTGATGAACTGAAATTTGACTTCCTGGTGTTGAAAGCAGTTGTGAACCAAGACGATATATATGCTGCTCATATGGCAAATGGCCAGTTTGAAGTAAGACTCACTTGCAGTTATGGGTGCATGTTGAAGCAGAGAGCTATCATCTCCTTGGGGCTATTTTTATAGAGGATGAAGGACTGGCTATTATTCCTCCCCTCCCTCTCCTCCTCATCCTCCATCTATAGCTATGCTCACTTCATTCTAAATGTACAGTTCATCAGTCTTCCAACCATTTGATGCAATACAAGTTTGATACTGACAGTGCTGTAAAATAAACAACAGAAAGAAAACAGCAAACTGAGCAATTCTCTAAGCCTACTATAAGATTACCATTCTAGCACTAAAACTAGCTTATTTAATTACGCTGTCAGTATCAAGACTGTAGCATTGAATATGGTGCAGTCGGTGGAATGAGAATTGACACGCTAAGTAACCGATGTACTAGGAGAAACCTGCCTCATTACCGTTTTGTCCAGTATGAATCCCACATGACCTGACCTGGGATTGAACCTGGCCCAGTGAGGTAGGAAGCTGACAACTAACCACATTTGTAATATACAAATGTGAGTGCTCTGTAACTCTACATTATGATCTTTTCCTCTATGGTTTTTTATGATCACTGTTTGTATATTTGTATGTCCCTAACCAATGAATTTTGCTGAAGTACCCGCTTATAATTTTATTTATTCAGGTACCAGAAGCGTATGGAGACATTGTGGAACCAAAAGATGGAGTGATTGTCCATGGATTGTTTTTAGATGGTGGACGATGGGATAATGAGAACATGGTTCTTGTTGATTCATATCCTGGTGAGAAATTAAAAACTTTTATTTGCTTTCATAATCTGATATTAAATGCAATTTTTGACAGTTACAAACATGGTAATTGTATGAAGCTTTTAGCATATATATATTTTTTAATTATAGGTGAAATGAATCCACCGCTACCGGCAATGCATATTTTACTGAAATCTGAAATAGAATACTCTGGGATTCGATATGAAGCACCTTTGTATAAGACATCAATTCGTGCAGGTGCAGTGTCAACAACAGGACATAGCACAAACTTTATTGTTTCTGTGTTGCTCCCAAGCAATCAACAGCAAAGGTATTGGATTCTTAAGGGTACTGCACTTCTGACACAAATTACAGACTAAAATATTTTCCCCACTCTATCTTCAGTGCTACAGTTCATACAAATATTATGTTTTTGGACATTATCCATTGTCTTGTCTTTATCTAAAAACCATCCTGTTTATTTTTCAAAACACAGTGTTTCAGAAGCTGGGTTCTGTCTCCATCTTAAGGTAAAACCTACTTAGTTGATCCCTATCTTTGGAGATACTGTCCAAAACATAATATTTGTACTTTTAGATCTTAGCTACAGTTCATATTAACCCCCTGGACCTGAATGCTGTGTAGCGCACCATAACATTTAAATGCCATGGTATACATGTATAACATCAAGGTAGACTTATCTTTGATTCCAAATTCGAAACTGACAGTGTAGTTAAGAATACTTTGTGTAGATGGCAGCACCAATAAAAAAATATTTCTGCAAGGCTTCAGTTACTTCCTAAACATTCCTATACTTATAGATATGTAAGAAAAGTGAAAGAAGTAATTGCACTGATTATTAACAGTATACTCTCAGATTTAAGTTAAGATCTATATTAAGAATCGCTGGGTGACCGCTATGATAGAATAAGATGGTTATAAGAATGTGGTACAGAAGGCCGGATGGGCATTGCCTAGGCCTCTTTTGTATTTACAGTAATTCTTTCCACAATAAAAAATACTTCAAGAAACTCTGAATGAAGTACGTGTTTTTTTTCCATCAGTAATCTGTCATACGACAGGTCCACAGTCTCTTCCAAAACAGTTCCTCCATTTAATGTGATTTAGAGCTTTCTCCTTCAAATAAAAATATCCTCTTCTGTCCCCAAGGTCATCCAGCATCTTCTTACATCTTTTTCCTCATCTTCTGGTCGCATACATGGTATCTCTGTTTTTGGAAAGAGACTATCCAGGAAAAGTGATAATGTGGTAGTTTTTCCATTTGCTTTCCACATCGCAGTACAACAGCCATTCAAACCACTCTGGTCACACCTGTTGCTATACGAACTTGAACGTGTTATTGTAAAATAATTCTAATACCCCTGCACCAGCTGTTTATGAGCTCTGGGAACCATTGCATCCATGTTACATGTATTTCCATGACTCCACATTGTGCTCAGAAAAGAAGGTTTCATATGGTTAGTAGGTCAGTTTTGGTTTCAGTTGAACATGGTGTTTACATCGATTGACAGATATATGTAACATTTCATTTTTGTACCTCTTCCTCTGTTTAACCCTTCTAAAAATATGTTTTTGGGACCCAGCAGAGATATCAGAGCGATTTTTCTCTGTCTCTAAACTTATGTGGATTGCATGTATACAGTTCTGTTCTCTGCATGCTAACATCCATCATACATGCAATTTATTTGGAGAATACCCCAAGAGGGGACAGAAGCTCTCAAAAGCGCTCATACTTACAAAGTAGCCCTCAGAAATGCAAAGAAACATGTATCAAATGGCTACAGATGTACTCTTCAGCATGCTAATCTTAATTGTTTGAATAATTTTGTTAGAACACTTTCTAAGAAATGGGACATATGCCTTCAAGCAGCACTTGCATGTTAGTAGTAGCCTCAGAAATACAGAAAAATGTGTATTGTATGAGTATGATCATATTGTCTGTGGTGATGCTAGTGTTCATCATACTGGTAAAATCTTGTTTGTCAGAGTCGGAGGAGCTGGTAATTGTAATGTTTTTGAATCTTTCCTGAAGAGTAATGTTTTTCCACCAGACATGTTAGAACTGATATCATAAAAATATGTTATCACGTAAACGTTTTTAGCTCATGTCTGCAAGGACAGACCACAGAGGATGTGTAGCATTGGAACTAATAATTCCTTTATACCTGTAGACCAGTGTTTCTCAACCACCAGGCTGTTGTCTGGCAAAGGTTGAGAATCACTGCTGTAGACATACTGTATAAGTTTAGTGTAAGTTGTATAGTTGAGGTTTTATAGTGACTGTGAAGTATGATATCTGTTAGCAAGACAGCAAAATTACTGTTGTATATGTTTAAAAATATAATTCTTTTGATTTGAAGGAGAGTTTTGTCATAAAATCTTGAATAAATTATTGAACTTTTATCTAACTTTTATTTAACATTTGATGCAGTATAAAATGCAGTAAATGTTACTTATTTTAGGAGTTTGGTACACAGAAATTGTGGACATATTTATTTTAAGTTAATAATATTATATCGGGGGCACACGGTAGCGTAGTTGGTTGAGGGGCTATGCTACAAGCCGGAAGGTCGTGGGTTCAAGTCCCGATGAGGTCATTGGATTTTTTTCAATT